TCCGCGGAACTTTTCTACGTAACATTTTTCCTCTGAGCCCCTCATATGTACTTTTTCACTCTTCTGTTGACTATAATTTGACATTGATTTTGACATTTTGTTTGTAGTACACTCGCTAACACCAGTTGGCGACAACGATGAGAAGGCTCTTGACTAAAATTGTACAAAATCAAATTCATCCAGTGATTGGCGATATTGAATAAAATGAAAATGAAAAATGATTACGATTGTCACGCTCTTTATTTTTTCTTTCAGTTCGCTGACTACCTGTTCTCCAAGCAAAATGAAATCTGGAACAATATTTGTGACAAAGTATATCAGGATATGACACAACCACTTTCAAATTACTGGATCGCATCGTCTCACAACACCTATTTGACCGGTGATCAATTTTCAAGTGAATCATCGACTGAGGCATACGTAAGAGCATTGCGTATGGGTTGTCGTTGTATCGAACTGGATTGTTGGGATGGTCCCGAAAATATGCCGTTAATATTTCATGGCCACACTTTTACCACAAAAATCAAATTTCGAGATGTAATCAAAACTATTAAGGAGCATGCATTTGTTACATCAGAATATCCAGTTATTCTCTCAATTGAACAAAATTGCTCATTGGCACAGCAGCGAAAGATGGCACAAGCAATGATCGAAGTTTTTGGTGATATGTTGCTTATTCACAGAGTTGATAAGAATGAGACCCAGCTGCCCTCACCATATAATTTACGCCGCAGAATTATTTTGAAACACAAAAAACTCCCAGAAATTGAAGAAGATCCGCTTCCACGTTCGGCAGATGAGATTGAAAATATACGTAATATACCAAAAGAAGGTCGATTATATCTTCAAGATCCGGTCGATAAAACATGGAATTTATATTTGTTTGTGCTGACACAACATAAGCTCATGTACAAGCCAGAGCCTGAAGATATACGTGACGATGAAAGTGAATCACATCTCCCAAGACCTAATGAGAGTGTGGTAAACGATGAACTGCATTTTGGTGAGAATTGGTTTCACGGCAAACTGGAAGGAGGCCGTGATGAAGCTGAACGATTACTTAAAGCTTACAAGCATTTAGGGGATGGTACGTTTTTAGTTAGAGAGAGTGCGACTTTTGTTGGCGACTTTAGTATATCGTTTTGGAGACAGGATCGACCACATCATTGCAGAATTAAGCTGAAACATATTAATGGACTTACAAAGTATTACCTCGTTGAGAATTATGCCTTCGACAGCTTGTATAGCCTCATAATGCACTATCGTCAAAATTTGCTGCGAAGCTCGGTACGTTTTCATTAAATCAATAAAATATTAGCATTGTATGATGAATAAATTATCATCGTTTCAGGAATTTTACATTACATTGAAAGAACCCGTGCCACAGCCAAAGAAACACGAAAATCAAGAATGGTTTCACCCAAATACAACGCGTGAGCAAACTGAAACAGCATTATTGCATTTGAGTGATGGTTCTTTTTTAGTTAGAGTTAGCGAGCACAACACATCCATTTTTGTTGTTTCTTTTACGTAAGATCGGTTCAAACTTAGTTTTCAGATCATCAATAATATTTTTATCATAAAATCCACAGGGCATATAGGAAAGTGAAACACTGTCGCATAAATGTCGAAGGTCGCCTATATGTAGTTGGGGAGCTTTTATTTGAAAGTTTAGTAGCCCTCGTGAATTATTACACAAGGAATCCATTGTATCGAAATGTAAAACTTACTTATCCAATATCAAAAGATATTCTCAAAACAATGATGAAAAAATACACAGACAATACGGTAAGTAAATTTTAACTCAGACTTTTCGAATCCAAATACACAAATTCCAATATGAATCATATTATATGATTGTTGTTGGATTTAAACAACACAATCTTAGTGTCTAAATAACACTTTGTTGATTCGCAGCTCACTAGAAATTGAATAATTTCATAGGGCGATAGCATGAATGAAAATGCAGTAGAAAAAATCAGCAAAAGCCTTTAATGTTTCAAACGCTTCGGATTGATGGCGCTGTCAGAAGCTCTCTGAAGCAAATTAGAAGTGGTGAATGTGATAATATTTGTCTTGACGTTTAGAAACGTTGACTGTCAAAGTATCGACACGACGCTATGCCTTCTTACGTCAACGCCAATTGGTGCAAGAACAAGTACTACAAGCACAACGTACGTCAAATTCAAAAGCTTGTATACAAATATATACATGTGTCAATTGCTTATTGAGCGGTTTTCTGTTCTCAAGAAATATTTTGAGTTTATTTTTATAAAAAAGCGCAAAAAAAAATTTTCAATGCAAGAATTTAATCTTAATAACGAAAGAGAATATAAATGTGTAACAAGCACGCTGTGTGTGACACTTATAACTTACGTACTATTGCGAAATAGTTTGATAATAATAATAATTCTGCACCATACAGCGTTTCTTCGCCAGAGGTGGTTTATTTGATATAAATATCCTTTTATATATTTACATTATATTATATTGGTTGATTTGCATAAAATTTGTTATTCTCTCCATAATCTATTTCTTTTAAAATATTCATTAATTCTCTGTTTAACAGTATTTGTACTCGTGTTAAAATCAATTAAATAAGTATCACAGACTGAAGTATGAACATTATGATAATTCTCATTTTCTTTATGAGTTAAGGGTGGCTTAATTGGCATAATTTTGTTATAGAAATCGTTATATGTAGACAGCATATGATTGATTGGTTCAAATCTGGAGTAATCACGGTGTCGTATTGGTAGAGATAGGAATGCTGTGTCTCTCGTCCAATGCCGTTGTGTTCTAATGTTGATTTCGTTCATAATGTGTCTCGATGATGTATGCCCGCATATCACATTATGTACCATTGCGATTTGAGCTATTTTTCTTCGTTCAGCAAGCGTAATCATTTGCAATTCCAGCAATCGACATTCGTATGGTGGCAATTTAAATCCATGCGACCATTTTATTCTACGCAGTGCAAACAGTAAAAATTGCTTTTGAACGGACTCAACTCGAGCAATCTTTTCAGCTGTGTATGGGCTCCAAATCTGTGAGCCATATTCTATAATCGGCAATACGAAAGTGAAGAAGAGTTTCTTTATGGTCCAAGGGTCATTGAAATCTCTTCCAAAACGCTTTATCCACGCAAGTCTGGACTTGGCTTTAGCAGTTACATACTCGATATGTGCTCTAAAGTCCATTTTTTCATCCAAAATTACTCCAAGGTCCTTTATCATTTTGACTCTGTCGATCGACTTCCCTTCGATAGTGTATTTGAAGTCAAATTTCAGCTCACCACGGTGATACGATACGTAATTTGTTTTTTTGACGTTCAATTTCATGCGATTACGTTTGAAATAATCAACAACTCTATTTAAGTCTGCCTGAAGTGCGAAGCAATCGTCATGTCGCTTTATTTGCATTGAAAAGCGAGTGTCATCGGCAAACGATTGCAAGTTGGAAGTCATCAGACAATGTGGCAAATCAATGATGAACAGGACAAACAGAGTCGCTCCAATTGGGTATCCCTGACCTGTTCCTGATGTTACTTCGATGGGGTTCGACATGACTCCGTTCAATTTCACTATTTGTTGACGCTCACTCAGATATGATTTTATCCATTTAAGTATTTGCTCATTCAATCCCATAATTTTCAGCTTGTGTATGAGCAGTTTCACGTCAACCGAGTCAAATGCTTTAGCAAGGTCGAGATATATTGCATCAGTTTGAGTTCCATGTTGCATGTTGACTAATGTATGTGAAGTAAATTCAGCCAGATTCGTTATTGTTGATTTTCCTTTGACAAAACCATGCTGGCTGCTATCGATGATGTTCCTCATATAATAATTCAAATGATTTGCTACTATTGAGTCCAACAGTTTCGGTATTATGCATTGCAGTGCTACTCCACGATAGTTCTCAATTTTGTATTTAGCTCCACTTTTGTGCACTGGTCTTACATAAGAGCGCCTCCATGTGTTCGGCACATAACCAGAATTCAACGATTCACGCAATATGTGTGTTATTGGCCTCAGTAATGTGTGAATGCAATTTTTGATGAACATATTCGGTATTCCATTGGGACCAGATACCAAATTGTGTGGCAAATCGTTGATTTTTTCCATTACCAATTCCTCAGTAACATTAATACGTGGGAAATTTGCACATCGTTCGAATAATATCGGGTCATTTTCATCATAGCTTGCTTCGGACCCATCAATCGGTTGTGTATATGCTTTTCCAAAGTGTGCAGCAAATGAATTGGCAATTTCGTATGGGTCGGTGCATTTTTTTTCATCATATTCCATGTTATTAGGAATATCGTTATTGGTATTATTGCACGTTCTGACATACTCGAAGAATTTCTGTGGATCTTCATTTATCAATTGTTCCATCGCAAGTTTGTAGTTTCTAACAGCAGAACGAGATTTTTTCTTATACTCACGACGCAGTTCAGCATGACCTTTTTTCGTTTCATCGCCTGTGTCAAACCTCTTCATTTTGTGTAATGTATTGACTTTGTTCTTCAAATTTATCAGTTCACTATCGAACCACTTCGGATGAATTTGGTGTTTCTTTGTTTTCGATTCAACAGTTGTATCAATTGCAGTGTTGACTATTGCGTAAAACTGATCAATTGCATCGTTTAAATCGATTCCGTTGAAAACATTGTTCCAGTTGGCATTATCAAAAAAATTATTGATCGATGTGTAGTCAGCATGTTTGAAGTCTTTGTATGTAATCACATCATCCGATTTGCTGTCAATTGTATCGTGGATGATGACTTCGAGTGCTTGATGGTGTGTTTCATTTTTTGCTATGTTACTTTTGCTCATATTGCATGTAAATGTGTTTGGTTCATTCGTCCATAGCAAATCCAACATTCGTTTGTTTTCATTGTGGTGAGTACATATTTGAAACAAACCCAGCTCGTGGCACGTATCGATGATAATTTTCTCTTTCTCGCTCACTGCATTAACAGCAACGGCTATTTCTGGATTCGGCTCAAATTTGATATCAGGATCATGAGCATCATTTGCGTTGCATGTATACCAGATCAGATTGCGCAAATTGAAATCACCTGACACAAGTAGTATATCGTTTTGCTTTGCTTTTGATGCTACTTCACGCAATGCATTCATATGTGCTTCATAAACTTCCAACGGTGAATCTGGTCTTATGTAAACTTGGACCAGTATCAAGTTTCTGCCGTTGCATTTTACTTTGACCCATACTTGTTCAGCTGTTCCGATACATTGCGGATTGAATGCTTTGTCAATTGCGATAAGAACGCCACCCCAACCCTTTTTCTTGACACGCTGAAACTGTTCAGTGGCAGGTGATCTATCGCATCTGAATACTTCAAAGTTCGATGGAAATATCTCTGATGAAGAAACATCTGCGTTGAGGTGCGTTTCGCTTAACATGTAAATTTTAAAAATTGCTGCTAAAACTTCTGATAAAAAATCAACTGATTTGTCTATACTTTTCACGCCGTTCAAATTATTGCAGTATATCAAAACGTCATCAAGCATTGTTTGACTTACATTCCATAGTGATTTTGATTTTGAAAGTTGAACGGTTGGAAGGTTTGATGTGGTGCGTGTGAATAGTGCGGATGGAACAGTGGCATAGTTGGCTGAGAATGAACCTGTTGCTGAGGTGGAGGGTAGAAATATGGCATTTGGTACCAAAAAGGAGACGGCACATTAATAGGTAAATGTTGCAGCGGCTGTTGTTGATGGTGTCCGAAATTATTGACCGGTATTTGCCTTTCTCGGTATTGTGAACGATATTCATGACGACGAATTCTTGTTATTTTAAAACGTAAAATCAAACATTTTTTTCGTGTTTTTGCGTGTTTTTTTCAACACAAGAGTAACTTAAGAATTGCGAACAAATGTCAATTCATTTGTTGACGTTCCACGTTCCGATTGTTTCAATGACAACATGAAGTGACATTTGTCGCAGTTATTCATGTTGATGAAAACACGTGAAAACACAAAAAGTTCATTTAATTTTATATTTTCTAAAATATTAGAATATTGTTTTTTATTGAAACATGTTTTTTTGAGTTTTTCTCTTCAAGTAATTTCTATATTTATACAAACGTGGTATTTCAATGTGTGGCGACACTGCGCCTTCTTGACAGTTCTCATATAAATGAGCCCAGAAGCGCCAACTGGTGCAAGAACATGTAATACAACCGTTGTATACCAATAGTATTAAAAGCTTACACGTTGGGTATACTGTTATTGACTGTTTTGAATAGTAGTTCTTTCACATAAAAACATAAAAATCTGCTTGCATTACACTGATATCTCTCTTATTCCATTGATATTTTTTCCAAAGGAGAAAAAAAAATATTTCAAGCCTCAATTGCACAGCATATCACTATTAGAATCATTGTGTC